AACAAGTATAACAGTTTTATCATATTTTAGTATCATACAGATTCTTTTTTAAACGAAGTGACGAGAATTCAAGATTAAATCAATTAAAAAATATACGATTTCACTTTAACAACAAACTTGATCCTCGAATGTAACAATATTAAAAAATAAACTATGTCAATTAATGTCCCTCTCGAAACCATTCGACTTTTGTCGAATTTTATTTTGCCAAACATTTTATTGACGTAATTAATCGTAATAGAAAATGTTTCAATTTCTAATTTTTATGTATGCGAAGACATACATAAATATATAAAATATGTCAAACTAATTAGTAATAAAACGGAACATATCCAACGTTAGTACCCCGTTTATCAAAACACGCTGAAGGACAAAAGCGTTCGGATAATCGACGAGTTTCTATCACAGAGGCTCCACTAGCTTCCTCCATACCCTACTCTTATTTAATTGAATACTAAAAAATAACAAAAACGGATAACAAAAATTGATTAATGATCGCGTATATCCGGAGCTTAGAATTAAATGATTCATATAAATGAGATGCAGATAAACGAAAATCCACTATGCAGCAATTTGCTGCGTAATTCAGTGATAACTGTGTGTACGTTAAGTATATACATACTTGTATACATATATGTATATGTGCCGAAGTGACGTGTCGTGACGCATCCAAAGAAATGCACGCACGAAATAAACACTGTCATTATCGACACTAATAATAGTAAAGACATTGTTGGGACTATAATTCAACGATAACGACTACCCCTTTTTCAAATTATAGTTTGTGAAAATATCATATTGTTAGCATATGTATTACATAAATAAACGAATCGATGCCTCTTTTAGTAGACCCGTAACAGCCAGTTGCGATAGTCGAACACGAGAAGCATGAAGCGCAACATCACCAGCCTGTTCCTCGTTCTGTGCGTCTTGTGCGTCGCCGAACACACGGACTGTTACAGAATTTTAGCCGCCATAGTGACACCGTCCTACAGCCATCAAGTCCCGTATCGAGCATTATTCCTGGAGCTACACAAACGAGGACACGAAGTTGTGTTTATCACACCGAATCCCATACCGAACATCAATTTGCCGAATTTCACGCAGATCGACATCAGCTATGCGTATAAAATCGTTGGCACATTAAACTTCGTTCAATCCAGATTCAACCGGGGAACATGGATACAAATTATAGAAAAGGAATTGATGACACTCAGCGTGACTTTCGCGGAATACATGTTCAACAATACGGAATTCAAGAAGATGTACGCACCAGACAGCGACGCGAAGTTCGACATCTTTCTAACGGAATACCTCTACGGGCCCGCCGCTGTCGGTATTGCACATCGGTTCAACGTTCCCCTAATAGGTACTTCTTTAATACATATTAATGTTCATTCGAGGTCATAGTTCAATTTGTACAGTGACGGACTACACGTTATAAAAAGCAGAAGTCGACATTCGAAAGTCGTAGGAACGACTTCGTAGAAAAAGATCGTGTAATAATCCATCTTTCTTCGTTTTAATGAGTGAAATTTACACTTCGACAACGCTGAACTCACTTTTTCCGTAGATGTTTTCACGTCGTGCAATGAGTATGAAAGAAAGGAAAATCATGAAACATCAAATTTAACGTCAAATTTATTTCATGGCTAAATCTACCATGATATCAAAATCTTAATTTACTTTATAACTATTTCATAAATCCTGATTTTTTTTCAATTCTCGCTATTTCACTGAACTCCGGCGTAGAAATATTAAGACCTCTCGAGACATTGTCAAAGTCGAATGTAATGAGCAAAAAAAGGGCAGCAAATTATAAATTCCAATCTTCCAAATCACTTTTTCACGAAAATGTAACAGTTCGTTACGGTATTTATATATAATTTCATTACTGTTATTTCGTTTCAAAACCCATGAACGAATATACGTTAATACATGATATACGACTACATATTAAAAAACTAAATAATCTGATTATTCACTGTTTAACCTTCACAAGTTATTTCGTTTAGGAATTTATGCAACCATGAAAAATACATTTTTCAGAAAAGGCATATCTTTATGATTTGCATGTATCTGAGCTTTGAAGGTCCTCTATCATTTACATCACATTTAAAACTCTGGCACTCCTCTAATTAAAAAATAAAATATTATTCATACTGATAATATTTCTAGAAATTCTGTTTGCCAAAGGTGTTGCTTCTTCATCAAAAGCATCTAAATAAAGAAATTATTAATAATACTATTATGTAACATATTCAAATAATACATTCCTCTATCATTTCTACTC